CACACAAGATCCGCGAGACCAAGGCATGTGCACCCTCGACATCACGTTCGAGCAGAACGTCCAGCCATCTGGCACGAAATCCCTCGTGCCCCACCAGAAGCAGTCACAGACCCACACGGCGAACGCCGTCTGCTTTACGCCTGTGAGCGCGGACACCAGGCACAGGAGGCTTGGACATCTCAATGCTCGGAGNTCGTGCTCCGACTGCACTCACTGCTCGTCGGCGTCCAACAAGTACGACTCAAACCATGAAGTGGCAGTTGTTGACTTCACCCGGGACGAGGACGCCTTCGACAGCGGCTTCATGTTCGGCACGTGTTCCCGCATCTCAGGACGCAACTTCGCCGCGAGCTCCACCGGGGTAGGACTGCTGGTAGACACGGGAGCATCGGAGACCGTGTTTGACAATCGCCTCATCCCCGACGGAAACCTCCACGATTTCACTCAGCGAAACTCTCCAAAGATCGTCGGCGTGGCCGGAGAAAGCCAACTCACAGGCACGGCCACGGGCATCCTACACTGCACCGTCAAGGACAATCGAGGACAGCAATTGCGCGTGCGGATTCAGGGACTCGTCGTTCCGGGGCTTGGTCGCAATATTTTTTGGCCCACCTCCCTGAAAAAGGGATTGCGCTGCGTCGTCGAAGAGGGCACTCCGCACCTCACTATTCAAGGCAAGGTGATTCCACTCACAAGTTCCGCGAGACCAAGGCATGTGCACCCTCGACATCACGTTCGAGCAGAACGTCCAGCCATCTGGCACGAGATCCCTCGTGCCCCACCAGAAGCGGTCACAGACCCACACGGCGAACGCCGTCTGCTTTACGCCTGTGAGCGCGGACACCAGGCACAGGAGGCTTGGACATCTCAATGCTCGGAGCCTGGACACCCTTCGGAAGGACACGGGTACCGGGGTGGACTATCGCGACAGTCTCTCCCCTTGCGGGGTCTGCCAGATCGCAAAACAAAAGCAGTCCCCCCCACCCGAAGCTATCGATTCGCGAACTATCATGGCCTGGACCACTTGTGGTCATCGACAACATGGGGCCTGTTAATCCACGTGCGAAAATTAAAGGAGGCTACTTCCCGTACGCGTGCAAGATCACCGACGACTACACGAAAATGAAAGAAGTGTACCTGCTTCGCAAGAAATCTGGCACGACCGAGGCGGTGCACACGTACAACATGTGCGTCGCAGCGGCAGGAGGCTACCGGATCGAGACCATCTGCTGCGACAAAGGAGGCGAGAACTGTGGACATTGGCCGTGGTAGTCACAGTGTAGGAAGGTTCTACGGAGATCTTGGGGACTCCGTGTGTGAAGATATCACAGGGGCCATACCCTGTGTGTGAGGATTGTGTGGACTCTCCGTCTTGTGTTCCACTCCTCCTATCTTGTGATCGATGATATAATACAAGTGAAGAAACAAACATCACCAGCCCCTTGGGGGAAAGGAGTCCTGGTGGCTCGAGGACAACTCCAACTGTCCATAATAAAATATTATTAAGTTAGTTGGCCGAGGATCGAAGCTCCTCGTGGTGGATTTCTGGAAGCAGTGACAGTTACGCCGATACGACAACAAGCCGTCGAACGAGGACGGGCTTGGTGTGGCGAACACGACGAGACGTTACGAGGACGGGCTTGGTCGAACAGTACTGACTTGCTGGAGCCACACTTGGGCAGCGCTAGGGCGCGATGCCTGCTGGGACGAGATCTCAGGATGCGGTGAGCAATGCGCAGCTCGTGTTGGGTGGAAATGGCCCGACGCCGCCGGAGTATCAACGTCCGTTTTCGCAGAAGAACTCTCTGCGTTTTCATCAAGAGTACTTAGAGTATGAGCGCAAGATTACTCTTAGCAATCTCGGGCAGTCAGTGCAACGACAAGTTCTGAAGCGGACTCAACTGCTGCCCAACAGCGTCCGCGCGACGTTGTCGCGCATCTACTTTCGTAATGCTCACGGCCGAGAACTCGAGGAGGATGATCTTCTCGAGGCCTTGACCAAACATGCTGAGTGTTGGGCCGAGGCCCAAACCGACCCCCATGTTGC